TAATATATTACAAAATGATTTGCATAATGCTTATATTGGTGATTTAGGCTTCGCAAAATCAGTCGACAATTTATTAGATACAAAATCTGAAAGAATTTATAGCGAGATTCCATATATTGCTCCTGAAGTTTTACGAAAAAAACAATTTACCAAAGCATCAGATATTTATTCTTTTGGAATGATTATGTGGGAAATTTCTTCAGGAAATATTGTGTATCATGGTTATAAAAAAAATAATGAATATGATTTAGGCTTAGCAATGGAAATTTGCAGTGGGTTAAGGCCGACTATTCCTAAATGTACAACAAATTTTTATGTAGATCTTTTAAAAAAGTGTTGGGATAGTGACCCTAAGGAGCGTCCAACTGCTTTAGAGATTCATAAAATTATTGAAAATTGGAAAAATAATACTGAAATCTTATCAGAATTTTCAAAATGTGATAAGAGATAGCAACAAAAAATGTGAATTATAATATTTACATTAAATCTATTGAAAATGAATTTAATATAGTTGTTTAATGAAACATTATTAGGTCAATAAATAGGTGATTTACTTTTTATTACGGAAGTTTTATATAACATTATCACGAAGTACGTTTTCTTATAACATCCACATAGATCTACAACTTTATATAACTTTTATATAGGATCCTAATATTATAAAATTACTCATAGTCATGTGTGTCCGTCCGACCTTCATCAAGAACGTAACCGTCAAGTACAATAGTTTTAAATTGTCATTATATGAAAATGTTTACATTTTTGATTCAAAATTACATCTAAATATAGTTATATTGAATTTTACGATTTTACGATTTTTTGTTTTGTAAAAATCTAGAATAATTACAATGATTACATGTGTAAAACCGATTGCAGGTAAACAGGCAGGAATTTGTGATTATGTAAAACTACTTAAATGATTTTTTTACAACTAAGAAATATGTTAACATAGCCAAATTTATTCAATACAAGAATCACAAGTATCGGGTTAAATAGAACGCTTTTATAATGGAATACTGTAGAATATTTGTGGTTCTTAATATAATCCTGAATAAACGTAATAAATCTAGAGACATTTTAGATTATATGCATATACATGTTTCAAGACAAAATATCATGTAATGAATAAAAAAAACAAAAAAAAATCATTTGTTATTATTACATGTGATTATTTATTTATATTAAGAAGTTTTTTTCAAAATTTGACAATGCTGGGTCCAGCTGTGTAATAATACAATAGAAAAAAAAATAAAGATATAGTCATTTTCATATTTCTTTAATGCAAAAATATAATGCTTTTAATAAGTATAGTTATATAAATTAACAAAGCTAGGAGTTTTTGTTCTATATAACAAGAATAAACATATAAGACACAAGTTAATAAATGAAATTATTGTGGAAAAAGCAGTATAGGTTTAGAATATTCGAATGCAGTTATAGTACTACTTATTCTGTTCTTCATCCTTAATTTTATCAATAAACTCTGTAATTTCTTTAGCTGATTCTTGTTTTAGACCATCTTGCATTAGTTTATCTACATTTAACTTAAGGAAATGTTGTTTTGTAATGTTTTGTTTTTTTAAAATTTTAAAATTATCATCATCAAATTCTAAGTCTTAATTGTTTAAAAAACATATAAAATCCTCTGTTTTTTTATATCTTTTAACTTTATTAATTGCAGAAAGTAAAATTTTTTTCTAGTAGAAGTAGACATATTCACTAATTTAGTTTTTGGGATAGAACAAAAAAATTTTTTTAATAAGAAATAGTCGTACATTATAACTTTTTATAGTTTATACAAATAATCAAATTATTGTACATTCTAACTTTTTATAGTTTATACAAACAATCAGATTGTCATACAACAGGTTATATATGCATAATTTTTATTTATTATTGTGATGCTTTATAATATACTATTTATATAATTTTATTTTTTTAAAATATTAATGGTGAGGCCATGCCTTTAACTTTATTGAAATTCAATTGAAGTTTTTACAAAGAAAAGCTTACTTTTAAATTACATATGAAGAATAAAAACTCAGACATATAATCTGTAACTAAACCTACACGAGTAGCCAAGGCTTATCTAGATTTGGGTATAATAATAATATAAGAAAAAGAGATATGATATTTAATCCATTGGATAGTCCAAAGGTCAATTTTGGTAATAATTTGAGGTACTGAGATAGGGAGTAAACTAGAAGAAGAACTACAAGTTAAATTTGTAGTAAGTGTGTCTTGAGATTATGCAGAACATAAAATGCAATATGGATCCATATTTGTTTGTATATTTGTTGATTTAAATGAAAAAGAAATTTAATAGAAAAAGAAGTATTTGTATTGTAGGAAATAGAAGTATTATGAATAGTAGAAATAAGATCAATAGAAACTAAATCAAATAGAGTAGAAATAAGGGATGGCATATGTAAAAAGGTATGCAATTTAAAGCTATTAAGTATGAAAATTTCTTGATGTAAATTAGAAACAAGATTGGTGAACATGTCAAGAGCAATAGCATTTAAGATACAATTAAAAGAATTAGAGATTAAGTAATAAATTGTTTAGGTAGAAGAACAAAAAATACAGTGTAATGAAAAGCTAGTTTGATTACATTGGTGACAGAAAGGAGAGTAGGAGAAATTATATTTATGAAGAGTATGAGGAACAGGTAGTTCATCTAAGAGAATTTTAATACAAAAAGTTTTTAGACTAGAGAATGAAAACTATAGGCAAAATTAGAAACCTTTTGATTATTATTAATGTAAAGCCAAGTGGCTTCCCAGTTGAAATTAGAAGCAATGGTGGATCATTGCTAAAAACAATGTTGAGATATCCAGAGTGTTATGATAAAGCTTGACAGTTAGTATGAATAGAGTGTTGACTGGAAATTTTAATAGGAAATTGGTCAATAAATAAAATATAAGCAGGATTGTAAGAGTTGTTAGTTAAGAATATTAAAAAGAATAGTATTTGAAAACTATGAGCAAGTTGGTCAGCAAGGTTATTAAATAGGTCATCTTGGTATACTGTAACTTTGTGAAAAATAAGCTAAATGTTGTATAAGTTAATAAAGTTAATGAGAGTTTGCCAAATAAAAAAATATGGAATATGAATATAAGAAAGTTTGGATGCTGATAAGCAGATATTATAATATTTGAAGATAATAGATTGTGAGTCTGTAAAGATATAAACAGAACAGTTTCTAGGATCAGTTATAATTGCTAAAAGAATAGCAAGGATTTTAGCTTTAAAGAAACATGACTAGAGTTTGACTTGTGCCTGAAATGAATGAATAGTTGTAGAATTATCAACTTGAACCTAACCTATCCCTATAGATTATTAAGAGGTACCAAGCTTGATAACAGAACCATTAGTATAAAATGAAATAGTGGTTAGAACATGATTGAAATTAGCAATAGTCTGTAAGTTATTAGTAAGTTGATTAGACTAAAAAATACAAGGTAATTGTTGTAAGTTAATTATTAGTAAAGGAGGAGGTAAAATATATAAAGGATATTGAATAGTTACAGAATATACAATATCAAGAAAGTTGGCATGTAGGTTAAGAGTTTTGTCAGTATTAATATAGCAAAGTAGTTTTATAACCAAATTTGTAAGAATTAAGATAATGCATTTGTTGGCAATTGTATTAGAATTGAGATAATATCCAAAACATAATATAGTAGTAGAGAGGGGAGTAAGATATAGTTTTAGAAACTGGGACTGATATAATCAGTGCCAGTGAGTAATAAGAATAAGGCTTGTAACTATCTATATAATTTTTTTTTTTTTTAAATATTAAAGTGAGTACTTGTGACCTAGAATTTTATTGATAATACATTCAGCTAATGGTTGCATTACAACTACAGAAGGCAACTATAGAAAGAGTATACAACTAGCCACTTATACAACTTTAATCATTGTCTAATTTAAGTAGTCTGCCCAAAGGTTCTACACTAGCTGCCATATCTGGAACCCACTTATAGGTTCCCTATTTAACCACTCTGTTTTTGTATTCACCCACCTACCTATACCTACCAAGATGCGCCAGTCGATACCGGTTTAAATATGCCATGGTCACTAAGTCTTTAAAGCAGTTCACTCATGTGGGGAATCTTTGCCTTGTACTAAACCTTTCAGAATCTTCTATATTCTATTTTTATAGCTGACCTGGTATCGTTATGGCCAAGACCAACACTAGTGGTCAGGGCATACCATTAAACTGCTAT